ATCTAGTCTTGGGCCTCCTTCATGCCCTAAATCCCTTAATAAGCTAGGATTGAGTGTTTTAGCCCCTTTAATGTCATGCATGAATGTAAAGTCAGCAACTTTATGTGTTATCTTAGCCCTAGGGGATCAGATCTATAGTTTGGAGCTTTAGACTCGCTGGAAAAGTGGCTGAATGTGTTAAGACTAGGAAAACTCGACGAGTTGCCTTGCCAAATCAGCGAGTTAACTCGGGTTTCCCCGATCCTCTGGACATTATGCGAACTCGACGAGTTGTCCGGTCAACCCGGCGAGTTGACTAGGGTTTTTCCCCGGTTTTTTGAGAATTGAAGGAACTTGACAAGTCAGCAATTGCACTCGATGAGTTGGGTCAACATGGACTGTTGACCTTGACTGTTGACTTTGACTTGGACCAGGGTTGACCAAGTTTGATTTTAAGGGTATCATTGTTAATTCGGGGATCTGTTGAAGTTAGTTGCAGGGTGGTTGTAAGAGGTTGTGTTCGGAGTTGTGAGTTGGGATTGGATCTTACCAGTTTAGAATTTCTTGAGAAGTGAGTCTCCTCCCCATACCAATGGGTCAAAGGTACCAAAGTCGGCCCATTTTGTGATATATGATATGTGATATGTGATATACTAGTTGTTATGTGATATGTGATATATGCTAGCAGTATCTGTGATATTTGCATGGAAGACCTCGGGGGGTTCCGAGGCAGTCGGATATCAGCCATGTGGGGGTTCCCATGGCATTCCAGGATAAGACCATGTGGGGGTTCCCATGACATCGGTGTAAGACCTTGGAGGGTTTCTATGGCATCCTTATATGTTTGTAATACCATGTGGGGGTTCCCATGGCAATGGGCTAAGGCCATGTGGGGTTCCCACGGCACCCGGTGTAAGACTTTGGAGGGTTTCCATGGCATTCTTATTTGATTGTATGCATGGCTTATATAGTATATGTAGCTGATATTGCTAGTGTGGTTATATGATTATGTGGATTGTGTGGGGTATGCTCTAGGGAACTCACTAAGCATTAGCTTACATCTTGTTGGTTGTTTCAGGTACTTCAGGATCTAAGGGCAAGAGCCCGGCGTGATGGTGCGGCATGCACTCTCTGGCGTTTCATTTAGGACACTCTAATTTTATGAATAACTTATCCGATGTTATTGATTTTTAAAACAAATGTGTTCGGAATTCTATATCTTATGGAAATGTTTTGGTTAATTAAAATGAAAATTTTTATTAGAAAATTTGCGTTGTTACAGAGGGAGCATTACCCAGATTTATTCGCATCAGCAGACTTCGAGGATGAAGTCTAATTCAAGTGGCGGAGATTTGTAACACTCGGATCTAGGTATTTCCTTCTTAGTCCTTGAAACAAAATTTATTTTTGGAAATGGTCCCTTTATACGTTGGGCATACGTTTTGGTATGCTTAGCGTACATGCACGCTTGGAGCAGGAGTCTTAGCCACATACATTGGGCGTATGCAGCCAATGTTAAAACCTTAATTTTAGGGCATGATCCCTATTTAAGCATCCTTATGACCTTTAGACCCTCACCTTTATCAGCCTCCACTACCATTTACGTCCTTAAAACCCTATTTTACCATTGTGAGTGATTTTTGAGCTTGGAAGTAACGTTATTGGCATTTTTGGTGTGTTTGTAAGAAGAAGAACTTGGTGATCAAGTCTTGGACGAGGTTGAGCTTCAAGATCCTGAGTCTACATCACCTTAGGAAGCTTTTAAAGGTACAAAGCTCTTGCCTTGGTGATTTCTTTTGGTTATTAAAGTTAGGGATTGTTATGAGCTAAATTTTGGTCCCATGAGCTCTCTTGTGAGTTTGGGCAACTCCAGGAGTTAGAGGAGTTAGATCTCTGTCCCTTAGAGGTGTTAGATGTATAAAAATGTCTTCTTGGTGATAGAAATATGCCCATGCATGAAAAGAAGATCCTTAATGAGAGACTTGTTCGACAAGAGTAGATGTTGGGCTCCATACAGCTTAGTACGTCGAGCGTACCAACGTGTACGCAGCGCATACTGGCTTGCGGACTCGTACAACGAGTGTACACCCTTCAGTGGGCTTTTGGAGTTCGGTTGGCCTTGGACTTTTGGGCCTTAGCTAGTTATTGGGCTTTGGCATGTTTAGGGTAGATGGGTTTCAGATTTTTGTTTGTGGGCCTTTAGCGACTCAAGTTGGGCTTTATGGGCCTTGGTGGGTTAGTCTCATTATGGGTGTGGTGAATGGGCCCTACCCTTAGGAGTTTGGATGGAATCTAGGCCCATGGCTGTGTCTTTTTACCATTTCCTAATTAGGTTAATTTCTGTATGTTCAGTGTGGGATCTTTCGGATCAGTAGTCGAGCAGTTAGTATTTTTCAACAGATTGAGGTGAGTCTTCTCACCAGGTTCATGGGTTGAAGGCACCAATGTCGGCTCATTTCTTATTACACTGAATGTTGTTGACCTTTATGATAATTGTATGGAAGACCATGGGGGTAGCCCATGGCCCTTGAGTGTAAGATCGGGATTTGGCCCTCGGCTTCGCAAGGAATGACCATGGGGGTAGCCCATGGCACTCATATGTAAGACCAGGATCTGGCCCTCAACATTAGGAGCAAAGACCATGGGGTATCCCATGTCACTTACATGTTTACTTTTTAGTATGTGATATGATTTGGGAAACTTACTAAGTGTTTGCTTACAGTTTATATTTGTGGTTTCAGGTACTTCCGGTACTAAGGGGAAGGGTCCGGCATGATGGCACAACATTCACTCCTCACTAGTTTTCCGCAATTTGACATTTTACTCTGATGATTTAATATTATTACTAATGGATAGTTTTGTAACAATGTGACGATTGTAACATTTGTGTTTAATTAAAATGAAAATTTTGATCCTGGTTTTTGCGCTATTACAAGTGATTTTTAAATTGACTTATTAATTTATTGGCTTTTCAAAAAGCCACTAAGTTAAAAATGTGTTTGGGTACTACAAAAGTCTTTTTCAAATAAATTTTCAGTAAGGGAAAAAAGAGAAGTTTCAAAAAGTCATAGATTCTTGGCTTTTTGTCGACTTATTAACTTTTTAAATAAAAAAACACCTTTATACCCCTTCAACCACCCTAACTTTTTAGCTTTTTGCTAGCTTTTGGTCATTTTACCCCTAAAAGCGAAGCCAAACATTTTTAAAATACCAACTTGTTGACTTTTTAGCTTTTTTTACGACAAAAGTTTATCTAAAATTAGGGATGAGCATTTGAACCGGGGAACTGGTCGGAACCGGTATTGGAACCGGAACCAGATAGAACCGATCGGGTCGGGACCGGGACGATATTCTTGTGGATTTTTGGAACCGGGAACCTGTAGGAACCGGAACCGGTGGAACTGGTAGAACCGGAAAAAACCGGAACCGTATTTTGCTATTTCTTGAGGACCGGTTCCAACATTGAAGACACAACAAGAACCGGTAGGAACCTGGAACTGGGAGAACCGGCGGTCTGGTTCGGTTCTTAATTTCGGCCGACTTCGGTTCCCGGGTCGGGTCCGGTTCGGGCCGGTTCCGGCCGGGTAGGTTCCTTTGCTCATCCCTAATCTAAATACTTTTAAAAACTTCTTTTTGAAAAAGCTATAAGTTAATAAGGACTTCTCCTAAAAACACTTTTTGAGATTAAAAAGCACTCGCCAACACCCCCTAAGAATTAATCTCTTACTAGTATATTTAATAACGGTTTGATCAATGATCTAAGAAAGTTTGAGATTGTTAAGACCAATGATGTGCTTGTTCACAAATTTCTTACAAGTTTCTTGACTCTCTTGATGAAAGTTGGGAACATCATGTTGATATATTGAAGAATAGCGAGAAAATCAAATTGATGAACCTTCCTAGTCTTTACGGTAATTTAAAAAATTATGAACAAAGCAAGAGAGAGAGAGAGAGAGAGAGAGAGAGAAGTATGCAACACTTAAGTCCAAAAACTCCAAAGTTATTGAAGATAGTAGTAATATTGAAGAAATCTCCTTAGGATAAGACATGGAAGATGAAGATGATCAATACAAACAGTTTTCTCAACTTGCCTCTCAAACTGCTCTTATAGTTAAGCAGTTCAAAGGTTTGAAGAACCTAAGGAAACTCAGACCAAGAGCAGTAAAAAACTGAGGCGGGAGAAGCAAAGTCATAGGAACAGCTAGGGTTGACGGGAAGAAGGAGAAAAAATAGGAATGATATATGATACCATGTAAACGAATTAATTTCCCATCAAACTTTATTCATTAAACAGTAGGAATATGTATACAAAATGGGTGTTGATTCTTCCAAGGAAGAATTTGATTAAGCCACTGAAATTACAATTTTAATTACAAGTATACCCTTGTTTAGATATATATGAGATTCTAATTCCGTTTAGTTCGTCCGTTTCTTCATAAAGCAATTATACCAAAAATAAGAAATTGACATTTTATAACCCTGATCTTCTTTTTCCTTTGAGGTATTGACATTTTACAGCCCCCATCTTTTTTTTCCTTTGCTCTTCCTTTATTGTTTACACCAATATATTTTTCTACAATAAATCCAACATCTATATATATATATATATATATATATATATATATATATATATATATATATATATATATATAGGGGATAGTTCTTGTGAAAACACCAATTATTGTGAGAACATGAGGACATTTTACAACCATTAGATTAATTAAATAGATGGATAGGATAATTAGGTATTTTCCTATTTAATAAAAGGCAAAAAAAATGGAAAATACAAGGAATTAGCTGATCACGGGGTTTTGAGGGCATTTGGGTAAAAAACTAGGTTAAATAATTTAGGAAAAGGCTTCTATGTTCGTAATTTTCGCCGGTGAATCCGTCTTCCAAATCCGTGCGCATCGTCCAATTTTTGTTGAAGATATTAGCCGATTTCAACATTGAATGTGATTCTGGTGAAGCTGATTCGGTAGTTGAATATAAAAAGAGTTGATTGCTCAACATAGCACAGAATGAGGACTCTTCGATCAGAGTCAAAAATGAACGGCAACAAGTTCAGCAACACCTTTAAAGAAGCCATTAACCTTGATGACGACGATTTCGTGAACATTCATTCAGGTTTTGCTCATTGATGTTCAAATACAACTTTAAATTAGTTTCTATTTTGAATACGACGATTGTTTGCTTTGTGTATTTAAAAACAAATATAATATGCGTAAAATGGTTAGAAATGTAGAAAGATAATGTTTCTAGTTGGTTTCCTTGTTGAAGAAGACGATTCACGTATCCCAATTTTTGTTGTTGATTTTTTTTAGGGTTTTGTTGAAGATGACAAGTATTATAATTGTGTGGTTGAAGTTTTGTGTCCTGTTGATAATGATATTATAAACGTAGTACAGTTAAGATTGTTGTTGTGGTTGAATCATGGAATCTAATTAGAACGGATGACTAGTTTTTCAAGGTTTTTATATATTAAATAATAAATAGTCTAATTTTAAACCATTTTTCATTGTCATATGTTGCAGGAGGTTCTAGTGTGGTGATGCTTAGCAGGGAACCATTAGCAAAAAAGAAGGTGAAAACGAGATTTGAACAAGGTACTTCTTCTGTGACTGATATTGTTTTAGCTTTGTATTTGTTTGACTGCGTGATGTTGTTTTGTTTTTTATGTGAATAATATTAAATGATTAGCCACATGTTTTCAATATTGAACACATTCTATAATATTTAATAAAAAGTATATATTAGTACTAAAATGTTCTTAATTGAGTATACAGTTTGTGTAAAAATATGCAATGCTTGCACATGTGTTCTGTAGTGAAAACATTTGGATATTGATAACATTATTTTAGAATTTAATATATCATATATGTCTTAGATTAAATATTCTGAACTGAAGTTTTATTATCAGTGTTATGGTTTGTGTTATTGTTTATTGTTTCAAAATAAAAGTACTCTAAAAAAAATAATAATAAGCATTGTGTATGAAATTATTCAAAACAGAATTCATCGTGTACTTAATAGTTTAATTTAGTATTCAATAAAGATTACATTACATATGTAATGCTTCAATACAGAATGCACAGTATGTGCGACAGTGTGCAATGCTTCCACATGTATTCAGTAATGAAAACATTTGGATTTTGAATACATTATGTAAGAATTCAATACATCATATATTTCTTATATTAATTATTCTTAACTGAAGTTGTATTATTAGTGTTATGGTTTTTGTTATTTTGTAGTATTTCAAAGTAAAAGTATTTTTAAAAAAATAAAAATAAGGATTATTTATTGAATTATTAATATCAGAATTAATTGTGTACTTAATAGTTTATTTTAGTATTCAACACAGATTAAATTACTTATGTAATGCTTCAATACAGAATGCACAGTATGTGCGACAGTGTGTAATGCTTCTACATGGATTCAATAATGAAATGATTTAGATGTTGAATACGTTATGTAATAATTCAGTACATGTTTTTTATATGTTTTGGAAAAAAAAATAGGCTGCAATGAAAACATATACAAAACAAATATGCATTCTTTATTATCACAATCGTGCATTCAATCTTCATATGAGTAGCATTATTTGATTAACACATTATGTGTGTTAGTATGTAATATTTTGTTATGTTTAAGATTCGAGTTAGTATTCAATAAAGAACATATTAGGTAATCATTCAATACATCATATATTACTTATAGTAAATATGCTGACTTGAAAACATATAAAAAACAAATATGCATGATTCTTATTTGTGTAGTGTTATCCCTAAGCATGAATTGAATCTTGAAATGACTAACAGTATTTGATGAAAGTATGTAATATTTCATAAAATCAATTTTCAGTTTGATGTAGTAGTCAATACAGAATACATTATGTATTTTATGCCTCGTTACATATTACAGAATACATAATAAATTATTATGTAGTAGTTAGTTTGATGTAGTAGTCAATACAGAATACATTAGTATTCAAGGCAGAAAACATTTGCAAATATTATGTGTGATTCTTATTGGTGTAGTATTATAGTGATCATGCGTATATTATTTTGTGTTTGTTGTAGGCGAATCAAGTGTTAGTGTAAGTAAGAAAAAGAAAAGGAAAGATGAACATTATGAAGATAGTGAAGCTGATGTTGATGTTAATGTAAGAAGAAGTGGTAGGAAAAAAACTAAAGTCTTAAAAATTGAAGTTTCAAAGGAAGATGATAAGAAGAAAGGAATGAAGAAAAGAAAAACGAAAAGAAAGAATGTTGTAGAAAATGAAGATGCAGATGTTGAGGACGACAAAACACAGGAGTTGCAAAAAATAAGTTGTCGTATGTCCCCAAAATCAATGTATATGGCGGTGAAGGGAATGTCATACAGCCAGAAAGAAATGGTGAGACGAATGGGTTTTGGTGCATTCCTTGATATAAAGTTAGATTCAATACCTTCTAGATTGGCTTACTACCTGGTGGACAATTTTAGAGCAAAAACATCCACGATTAAGACTAAGAAAGGGGAAATACTTATTACAAAGAAAACGGTTGAAAAGATGTTTGGTTTGCCAAGTGAAGGTTTAGACTACAACCAGTTTGTGGAATGCGATAAAACAGATATAGTTATTGAAGCATGGAAAAGTCAATATCCAGGAGGAAAGTTCAATAATGGAAACTATGTGAAGAGGATTAGACAATCGGATGTGGCGGATGACATGTTCAAGCTTAATTTCTTGACATTATTCATAAACACATTTGCAGAGACAGAAATGAGTGGGGCAAGCCGTATTAATTGTCTGCAGAAATTAGCAAGGTGTGAAGATATTCAAAAAATTGATTGGTGCAAGTATATAGTGGAATGTTTGGAGAGGCAAAATACAAATGGAGGCCAAATGATGCAAACTGTTATTACATAGGTCCAGTCACGCTGTTACTGGTAAGTATTTGTAAGTATGTGCATTTATTTTTGTTTTATTTTTTTATTCTGTAATGAAAATAATATAAGATAACTTATTAATTCTGATGTTACAGCTTACGTATGCGGACAAAGTAGTTTTGAATGGTTATAATCTCTGCAGATCAAGGCCATTGATAAATCAGATTGACTCAGTGGATTTGGAAATGTTGGAGGAGCATGGATTGAGAAATGGAGAATTTGGAACCTTGGAGTTTCGTGCAGATGGGGAAGTGGATCCTATTGATGTAAATGGTGATGAGGATAAGGTGGTAAGTTATTTTAATATTTATGTCATATTTTCTGTAATAAATAATATTATACATAAGAAGATATTATAACTCGTTTTTATTACAATGACAGGTAGATGTGGAATCAATTGAAAAGATATATAGTAGGATCTGTGATGATAAGGAAAAAATTGAAGAAGCAATTAAGAAGCGGTTAGAAGAGGATGCAAATGATGATGTGGTAAAAGAGTGGTTACGAAAGGTGCGAAAACTTTTTAATGAAAAGAATGTGGAACATGTAGATAATATCTCTCCCACAAATGAAGTGACAATGAAAACGCCCGTTAAAGTTGCAGTCAATCCTGGGCAAAGTAATTTTGTGAAAGGAAATAGTCCCATATGCAATGTTTAATCTACTGGAAGGAATAATGAGAAGACAAAGATTGTGGATGGGTGCGACTCACCTTCCGTGCTCTTTCTGGAATATAAAGGAAATACATCATTGGATAGTCCAGTTGTTCTGACTCCTGGTTTTTTGAGTATGTCTGATGAGATTGTGGAACGGAGCATGAGAAAGAACAAGGATTTTTGCAAAGATGACATACCATCGTTCTATTTGAGAATAACACAATTGAATGAGGAAGATAAGAGTATGGATGTTAAAGAAGGAAGCAAGCCAGTAATTAGATATACAAAAAAATCTATAGCGGAAGACAAACTGAAAAAAAGAACTGGAAAAGATATTATGGAAAGAGAAATGGTGCATGTTGATGAGTTGAAAAATGGGAAAGGTAAAAGGAAGGGGAAACTTGGACAATTGGTGTGTTCACCATATGTAGATCGGATAACAGATGTGGATAAGGCGGTTAAAGATGATGAAAACGTTGTGGCTCAAAGCATAATAGCTTGGGGGAAAGATAAAGGGTAAGAATGTACATTTTATGTGACTCAATTAAAATGGATTTTTTTTGTCGTGGCATTTTTATTGTATTATGTTTAAATGGCAGGGAATTTATATGGGAAACTGTTGATGGTCATGGAATGCATTTGGAAGCTGCACGTACGTTAGCTATGAGAAAAAAAGTGCATACCAATGTAATAGACGCGTGGGCTGCTTTCCTTAATAAAACTGAAGAACTGAAGTCTGAGGCTTCTTACTCTAGGATGTACTTCACATGCGATACGATTGTAAGTTTTTATGAATAAGATGTGTGTTGTATGTCATATTCCGCTATGAATTGTAATATGGTCGGTATTTTGTTATGATAAAACAGACAGATTACATGGTTGATGAAGCTGTAGATGAGGAGCTAAGGTACAATAAATTCAGAATTATGTTTGTAGCTGTGATTAATGACATAACGGACAAACCAGATTTGAAAACGGTGGACTTGGTATGGAATTGTTAATTTTTACAGTTTTTAGACATGATTGGTATCACACATGTATGTGGAACTGATGTTGATATTGTTTAAATGTAGGTTTTCATACCAATTGTTGTTGATGAAAGTTACTACCTAGTGTGTTTTTGCTTGAAAAGGGTTGCATTTTATATATTTGATCACATCAAGAGGTCCGGGACAACTGAGTCTGCATATGGGAATAGACCACGTATCCTGGTTAGATCTGTTGTTTACTTAATGAATTCATATATAGATCGTGAGTATTGTTGTTATATATTTATTATAATATGAATTATTATTTAATTTGACATGCAGAAAAGCTTCTTTTGTCGTTATCTGAGTAGTGTTGAACACAAAAAAGCAAATGTGTTACTTAAAAAAGAAGTTGTGGTTATAAAAATGAAGTGTGAAAGGAATATAGTTGGTGTTGACTGTGGAATTTTCCTTATGTGACACATGGAAACATACATGGGAGAAACGGCACATAAATGGGATTGCGGTCTATGTGTTGATAATAAAATTCAAGAAAAGATGTTGGGAAGGTTAAGGTATAAGTATCTGGATAAGTTGATGATGTCGGATTTTAATGTTATGAAGAAAACATTCTTGAAGCATTATGCAGCTGTTAAAAAAATGGATAGGTTTGAAAGGATGAAGGTGATTGAAGAAAAGAAGAAGGAAATCGCAGGTGTGCTGCAGTAGAATGATCTGTGAAGAAGATGGTGTTTTTTAATTAGGTTTATTAGTATTATAAAAACCTGATCGTTTATGAAGTTTGAAGTGTTTTGTTATGTTGGTTTTTTGGATTATGGTAAGTTTGTTAGGATTATTATGTGTTGGACGTATTCTAAGTAAAACTATGTGATGGTTTATTTAAGGGTTATTATTAGAACTGTGAACCTGAATATTTCTTATATTCCATATGTAATATATGGCATATGACACTTAGCAAAGGGCACACATTAATAAGAAATATGAATCATGTAATTTCTAAAGCTATGGGTTTGTGGTGGTATTTTGTTGAATATATGGATGTAAAAATGAAATACATGTTGTGAGTAAGTTAAAGATTTTTTCCCCATCAAATTCCTATTATAGTAACATAGTTTATAAGACTTAATTTGAATTATGAATTGTGAAAAGAATGACTATAAAAGTTGGTGTTAGAATAATATAACACCTATTCACTTATTAAATTCTGAAATGAATATATAACATAATTCTAATTTGAAGTAGGTATTAAGCGGTGTTATCAACAAATATATAATTCATAATCCATATTTTTTAAGTGCATCTGATGATTATTTTATGTATGAAAATAAAGTTTTTTTGTTAACTAGATTTATAAATACATATAATGTAGGTGGGGATAGTTCAAATAAAAATATTAAATAGTGGGAGAAGGTAAAAACATTATTTTTATGTTATATTTCTGGAATGAATTTTGTATCAACAACTTTATTTTGATTATTCAACAATGAATATATGAATATTTACAAGGCAAAACTAATTTTATAATTTACTATGAAAATGCATATGCATAAATGTATAATAGAGTAATAACATTTTAATGAATCTATGAATAATCAAACGTTAATATTCATATTAAAATTACTTCAACAATAAACATATACAACATTCATTACAGAATAATAACGTAAACATAGTGTTTTTACGTTATTGAATTTGTATGTAGTACTTAATTATATGTCTACTTAGTATCATGGAATCAATTTTGGTTTTATAAATTCTGAAATGAATAATTATACAAAAAAAACATAAGAATGTAATGTTTTGTGACTTTATTAATAAGATAACGACATTTATAATGTATTGGTTGTTGTATACGTGTAATAATGTTGTAAGGATTGGGATGGTTAAAAAAACAAGGAATATGTGGATAAGCTTTGAAAACACTTTCAATGACAAATAATAAACAAAATTTAAAAATAAATTCTAGATAGGGTACACAAATTATAAAAACATAATACTGAAAAGTGACAATTGACTGAGAATGTTAAAAGTGTTTTACCATAAAGTAAACAAACCAAACAAAATAATATGAAATAAAAAAGATCGATAATAAAATTAATGTTTCTTGCCAGGATGTTGTTTAAATATGTTGTTCTTCTCATCTTCCTTTCATGTAGGACAGTTCCGCTTGTCATGGTCGTTACCCTTACGACAGTATTTACAACGTGATTTTTCAACTGCAATTTCTTGAGCACATTTAATCCTTTTTTTAGTCCCAGACCCTTTGTTCCTAATTCCAGTGGGGTTTTGAATTTGAACATCTGCGGGTATCGACACACCAAGTCTATTTTCAAAGTCTGTTGACTTGTTTGGGCGTTCATTCATAGTAACGTCATCCATAAACTTGCTCTCCAATTCCTTAAGTGCTTGATAATACTCTTCCAGTCTTTTTTTGTTGGTGCTCAAAGAAGAGAGACAGTTGTCAACCGTTGAAAATATGTCAATTGCTATTTTTTGTATATTCTCATCAGAATCTGAATACCGGAAACATCTTCGTAACAATTCAGGTGGAATAATATCCTTCTGCCACCCCCTTAGAAGATACTTTGCTGGTATGAATTGGATGTTGAAGGCTTTCATTGCAGTAAAAATGTGGCGACAAAGAATCCCAAATTGTTCAAACTTCATACAACTACAAATGAATGTGTCTTCTTTCTGGTCACATTTAACCTATATAGAAAAATAATCAGATATATATGCAAAATTTGGTGTGGAAAAAAATAAGATGATATCAGAGTTTAAAATAATACCGTATATATAGAGTCTTTTAGCAACTTATCCCAATTATCATCGTCATCATCACTGACAATATCGGAGTCAGGTCGATTTGAGATGGAATATCCATGTGGCCTAAATTCTTTTATCTGAAACTCATGAACATGGTCAACGATGTTGTGATTTAACAAAAAACATGTTGTCATTGACCTGTACATTTCGTTCTGAACCTGTCTAAACACTTTACGTGTGTAGAATAGAGAAGCGTTTTCCTCTATTGGAAATGGTGTTCTCATTTTAGGGAATTTGTCTTTTGTTTTGAAGTCCAAAGAGGATTGAGTATAACGTTGCTTCTCCATGGCAGATTCAAACGAATTCATAAAGTTTACTAAAGTTGATCCATAATGAGTGTTTTGATGAAAGGCTGAGTTCTGACTCTCAGAACGAGATGTTGTTCTCATGAGACCTGACATAGGGACTCTTTTGAAAAATTCAGTAATCCATGAATGTCTCAAGTTGTACATTCTACTTAACCAAGTATTATCGTTAAGATCATATTCATCCAATAGTGCTTGCCATCCCAGTTCGAAATCTTTCTCTTCAAGCTTAGAATTCCATATCAAGGAGTTGAACAGTAACTTAAATTCCTCGTCGTTGACAATATCCAACGATACCTTACAATAAGAAAATGTGGAAGGTGTTAAAAATCAAAATCATTGAATCAGTCCAAAATGTATAAAAGGAAACGACAATAATGTTATAGAACATTAGTCAATGTAGACTATATGTTAGAGATACAAAAGTACTATCATTGATTATTTTCAGAATGTAAAATTAAAATAACAGTGATTCAAAATGAATAAAATGTTGACCGAGAGATTATTAAATAAAAGCTTGTAACCTTCAATGGTAATTTGGAAGTGATGTGCCACATACACAACCTATGAATTGATTCTGGGAAAACATTGGCTATAGCGTTTTTCATCGCGGGGTCTTCATCAGATAACACCAATATTGGTTGTTTACCACCAGGCTTTAAGAAAAGATTTCAACAACCATGTGTATGAGTCGATATCCTCTTTGCTAAGCAATCCAGCACCAAAAGTAACACACTTTTTGTGATTGTCGATTCCAGTGAAAGGAACAAATACCATGTCATACCTAAAAAGTGGTAAAATTTACATTGAAATTTTTAAAAGACTTAAAATTAAAACAAAAAACATAAACATAAAAAATACATAACCTGTTGGTTCGGAATGTGGCATCAAAGGAGACAACATTACCAAATTCTTTATAATTTATCTTTGAGGTCTCGTCAGCCCAAAACATAGCGTTGAGTTGCTTATTTTCAACTCTGAAATCGAATGAAAAATTAGGAACATTTTTTGTTCTGTTTGTCATATTATCGACTAACATCTGAGCATCAGTTCCACCTATAAAGCAATTAAGATCCCTCATCAAATTTTTAAAATCATCAACAGTGCCTCCAATAATATTGTATCCACCATTAACAGCAGTAAATAGCCTGTGAGCTTGGGTGGCACCAACGTTCTGATTAGAAAGACTGATAATGAACGATTTCTGCCATGAATTAAGTTGTCTGTGGTGTCGGGAAAACAATATGTTATCTTGAGACATAAGCTCATGATTATGTTCCTCTACAAACTCATATAGCAACCATGTAGAGCTTCCTTCTATCATCCTAAATCTGATACAAGCATTGCATCCAGTCCTTCTTTTTATCTTACTTCTGTTTGGGTTCAATGTATCAACATGACCTGTATTAGGAAGACCTTGTCTGTTACACACGAGGTATCTCAATCTAATAATACCATGCCCATTTTTTCGTTTTTGTCGTTTTTCTAACATCAAAACCTGCTGCAAGAGCATACTTGTAATACATATCTGTTATATCTTCATAGGACCTGTAATGGCCTTTGAGTTTTGGCTTAACTTCATCAGGTACCTTTGGAATCCAATATTGTTTTCCATTAATAATCACATGCTGATGATTAGAACTTTGATGATTATCATTAGATTGATTATCATCAAATACACCCAATGTCTCGTCTTCAATTGAAATATCACCTAAAACGTTTGCATCTAGATCAATATTATCATAAATATAACAATCTTCTACTAAAAATAAACAATGATGAATTAACATAAAATATACTATCGGAATTTAGTAAAAGGAAGTTAACATTTACAAAAAATTGTAATAAATTAAACCTGGATTCTTATCATGATATACGAAAATTTGTAAGAAATTAAACCTGGATTTTTATCAGTTCCATGATGTTGGTCATCGAACAGACTATCATCAAAAGTATGATCTATTCCATCCTGCATTGAATATAAATCATCATTGTAATCGTCGTCTTCTGTATGAGAATCCATTTGGATCAATAGAATAATAAAATCTTTTTCAAAACGATGAATGATATGACTGGTAATACAAAATGATTAGTAGGTGGGTTTCATTTTTGGATTATGGAAAGATCAATCAACGTATTTTTAGGCTATTTGTTTTAGTTACTTGATTGACTTTTGTGTAAAATTACATGCTTACCCTTAAAAATAAATTTAATTATTTTTTTAAATGATAAAAATTGATTGGCTGTAAATCGTCCTCACGTATTCACACTAATCTATGTTTTTAAATGAACCTACTTCTATATATATATATATATATATATATATATATATATATATATATATATATATATATATATATATATATATAGTTATATGGAAAACAAAAAACCCTAAAAAAAACCCTAAAAATCATTAAAAAAAAAATACTTAGACATCACAAAACTTTTTTTTGAATTTATATAACAAAAAATCGTAGGTTTTTTTAGAAATTCGCTGAAAAAAAAATCGATTTTTTTTTCAAAAACAAATTCAGAGAAAATACATAAAAAGCTGCAAAAATTCATAATATAAAATCA